GCCATTGAGCATCTCTCTGGGCCAGTGTTCCCTGCAAGTCATGTGTTTGTGCAACTGCTCAGGAGAAATGCAGATGCCACCCAGCTCACTAGCAGAGCACTCTCAGCTAGGTTTCGTGTTTCTATTGGGGGTGCTCATTTGCACATGTCTCCGCGCACATAAAAATTATTCTGCACATGGATGGAAAAGATTAGAGGAACATTGACCAGGACCAGGACCAAGTTACCAGATGCAAATGGCCAAGTTCTGCCCTTTGCGATATGTGTACAAGGAGATAGTCAAACCAGAGAAGAAATGTTTGGGCCCCCATGGTCCTCTCTGCTTCCTCATCAGGCCTGTAGCTGCTGACTGTGACGAGGAAAGTGGAGGGGGAGGGGGAAGCTCCCAGCCGCTCCGCATGGTGTGCAGGGGTATCCATGCTTATCCCTGGCTTCCTCACTTTTCCTGTATTTCCCCCTCTCTCATCCCTCCGAGGGCGTTCAGGGGTGCAGAGGAGGAGGCTAACAAGAGTCAACCAGAGATGCTGCTGCACAGAGCAACTTTCCTCCCTGAGCACCCATGCCCAGCGGCATGGAGTCTGGGGGGAGGATGTTTGGTAGGTTTGTGGGAGAATATGCTAGTTACAGGCTTTTGGATCAGAATTTCCTTTACTTTCATCACCTCTGAGTGAGGGAATGATACGACTCATTGATTTTCTTTCAGCTCAAGCAGAGCTGTAGTTCTGCCCTTGAGGAAAACCCCTCTAGAATTTCAAAGGCAACAATAACCTCTCTCTGTTTTCAATTAGTCCTGTAGTGTTTAATATTACATATCACTGTGCCAGCTATAGATTTTTATAGGAAAGCGAAAACCTGTAGAATAGATTTAAGCCTCCATTAAATTCTATAGGCCTTTAGGATCTTTTCTTTTCTTTTTCTTTTTTTGTTTGTTTTGTTATTACCATCCATCAATAGAAAATATAATCATTCAAATTGCTCAGTAATCTTTACTGGACTTAAAATGTCTGAATTCATGAGCTTATACTAATGTTTGGCATTATTAACATTAACCTAATAAATTCACATTTCCACCCAAGCAGAACAAATCATATCCATTACTACAAACACATTTCCATATTTTTCTTCTACTGACACCACCTGATTTAACCTGTAAAGGTATAACTTGCCTTATATGTCCCTTCAGGCTATTACCTTTAAAGACCCATCAGCGTTTGGTAAATCTCATTGTTTTCTCTTTATTTTGCCTAAATTCAAAACATGGCAACTATGTGCAAGAAGATGATTAAGCCTGGTGCAAGACTCTCCATCATTTTCTCCCTAGCAACCATTTTAGATCCTTTCTACAGAGCCCTGTTTAATTTCTATAGAACCCGAGTGTTGTCATCCCTATTAAATTCTGTGGGGTGGTTCCATAGGGGAGGTTCTGTCCCTCCTGTCACACATGGGTTTGGGCCCTACCCACTTGGCTATCCCCGTATGCACAGCTGTAGACTGATGACAGTTGAACCAGTAACGATGCTGCCTCCCCGCTCTGTGTCTCTTGTCCCGGCAGAAGGAAGAACGGGGGTTCCTTTTGTAGATGCCAATATGAGAGAACTCGCAGCGACGGGCTTCATGTCCAACAGAGGGCGCCAGAACGTTGCCAGCTTTCTCACCAAGGACCTGGGGTTGGACTGGAGGATGGGTGCAGAATGGTTTGAACACCTGCTGGTAAGACTGAACTCAGCGTGTGATTGGAGCGGTTTGTGCTTCTCTTTGCCGGTGACTGACAACAGGTCACCTTGTACGGGCCTTAAAGGAACAGAACTCCCTTTGAGTTCACTAGCAGCTTGGCTCAAAGAAGGATCATAAAAGTGAATCCACTCTTTCTGGGGTGCTCTCGGCACGCAGTTCAGAGGCTTTGGTCAAAAAGGGTATGTTTCCCATAGCATGGAAAGATTGCCCTCGACTGTGATGTAGCTCTGATGCCTGCAGTGAGAATTTAGATCTTCTAGATTAACGGGCAGTTTTGTGGATAAGGTTCTGGATCCAGACTCAGGAGGGCAGAGCTGAGTTTGTGACTCTGTCCCAGACTCCCAGTGTGACTGCAGGCAAGTCGCAGGGGCCTGATTGTTGGATGATGTCAGTGGGAGCTGTGGATATGCAGCACTTCTGAAAAATCAGGTCCTTATTCGCTCTGAACCTGTAACAGGGCATGATGCTTCCTTTCTCCCGTCTTGGGTCTGTCTTGTCTAGTCAGAATGAAGATCCTTCAGGACTGTCATTCACTGTGTGTTTGTCCAGCACCCTGCACAGCGGGGCTCTGGCTAAATAATAGTCCATGGCTACTCAGCCTGTGGCCCACGGCCCATTTGTTTGCAGCCCATAGTGTGGTTTGTGTTTACACAGGGCTCAACATGTAGCCCACGGGTGGGATCCTTTGAACGAAGTCCCCACTGGGAACACACGCCACAATGGCGAGGCAATATACTGATCTTCTGTTGATATGCATTTTAGTAGTTAAATATCTGGACTGTCATTGCTCATTAAAAGTGCTGTCATACAGGTGGAAATCAGGTAAATATTGCATGTTATTAATATCAGCAGAACTGACTTAAATGGGGCCTGCATCTTGTGTAGACTTGCCTTAATCTTTGTATTCATGCTCGTCAATGTGAAAGAAGCAATTGGCATATATTTGCATATATATATACAGCCACACTTAAGTTGCGGCTCTGCGCACGTGCTGTGAGTATCATTGTGGCCACCGGGCTTCCACAGTTGAGTAGCCCTGTAATAGTCCTTTCCTGTACTCTTCTCTTAGGTTCTCACGCATCCTGCCAGGGGCATTGATAAGAGCGCAGTTCTATTTATCTTTCACTTCAGTAGCAGTGTCTCTTATCAGCGTTTGTTCTCACCGAGCCAAGTTATGGAATCTGGGGCTAGAGAGTTTCAGATCTGATCTGTGTTGGTTTTGGCCCCAGAAGTTAATGACACGGATGTTTTTTTTAAAAATAGTGAGCTCTAATTTAATCTTTCCTTCCCCACCCTGCTAGCATCATGTAGCTGGCACATCAGAGGCAGAGTGCTTGCTGCTAGCCATGGCTGTGGATATCTTAGAAAGCTAAGTCATGGCTTCCCAGCCTGCCGTCTGCAGATGAAGAGGGCATTTCCTAACCTACGCTACAGCTTGGGGCTGGCCCCCACAATGCCATTGGCTTCATTGTCACCTACAGGAAGCTTGAAGCTACAATAGAAACAAGCTTGTCTGATGCCTAAATTTCCAAGGCTCACTTCAGGCTTGTAACAGTCACAGCACCTTGAGCTATGAGGCAGGGCTGGGTCAGGACTTGGATGGGAACTGTGCACATAGTGGGGTGGGTAATTCAGTGTGGTGACCTTTTTATCCTGTAAATCAGTGCTGTTCCAGTGACCCGGATTCACCCTCTTTCAGATAAGCCTTACAAACCCATGTCCTGATGGCAGACAAAAGGCACTAAAAGCACTGGTGCTTTTTGAAAAAGCAGCAGTGTTAGCCTTAGTGTCCTGGATAAATTCCAGTTGGAATAACTACTGTCTGCACAAATCCCTGCTGCAGTTTCAGGTTCTATGTGGCAGTCTGGCATACTCCTTCACTACAGTGGAAAATGGGAACTGTATTTACATTATCGCTGGGATGGCTGCGTTTCAGTGACGGATGAATGGAGCCCTGCATGGATACAAAATTGGTATCTACATCCACATCTCCATCAGTGATCCACAGATGCAGATACCCATGGATATGAGATGGATATCTGCAAATTTGCAACGTTCTAGATACAAAATTTGTATCCGCATCTGTATCTGCAAAAATGAACTACAGACAGGGGCGGCCCTAGACTAACTGCCAGCAACAGGCGTCCTAGGCGAACCATGCAATCGGCGCCCCCACCTCCAAACCCCTCAATGATACTGCGCCACCATTTGGTGCCCCATTTAGCTTGGCGCCCTAGGCCACCGCATATATGGAAGGGCCGCCCCTAGCTGCAGATATCTGCAACTACATCCACACTGTGTGGGGGCCGGAAGAGGAGCCTGGCAGTCCCCGCCCGGCCCCAAGGAGAGCCTGAAGGCCAGCAGCAGAGGGGGCTGGTGCTGATTTCCCCTTGTCTGGGAAACTCCCGTTTGGTACCAGTAAGGTCTCGAGCATGCTGGACCAGGAAAGTCCAAATTGTACAAGGCAACACCTCCTCGTTTTTTCCCTGACTGTCCTTCCTGAACAAGCTGTACCCTTCTCTACCAATATTCCAGTCAGGTGACTTATCTGACAAAGTCTGTGCAGAACGGCATCCCATGAACAAGGTAGGAGAAGACCTCCTGGTGACACAGTCTTAGCAACCACACAGTCACCTCCAGGATATGTCTGTCTCTGCCTGGGCCCTTATCCTTGATGGGAATGATTGATGCAAACTCATCTTTACTTCCAACTCCTGCACCTTGTACCATGTACTCCTGCATACCTTGTAGTACCATTAGGCTATGTCTACACTGCAGGCTTTTGCTGGCAGAGAGGATGCTAATGAAGCACTCATTAGCATTTGTCTCACTGTCATTTGCATATTCTCTGCCGATGCTTTTTGCGCAAGAGGTTTTTGCGCACAAACAAGCAGTGTAGACGGGTCCGTTTTGTGCAAAACCCCCTTTTTGCACTATAAGGATCTTGTGCAAAATAGACCTGTCTACACTGCTTGTTTGTGCGCAAAAACCTCTTGAGCAAAAAGCGTTGGCAGAGAATATGCAAATGACTGCGCGACAAATGCTAATGAGCGCTTCACTAGCATACTCTCTGCCAGCAAAAGCCTGCAGTGTAGACATATCCTGATTGGCTCCTCACATCTACCGCCACCCTTCCAAACACCAGAGTTGGTGAGAGAAGCTTGGGTTACACAGAAGGGTTATGAGGAGATCTAGTGTAAGTAGATGGGTCAGGAGCTGCTCTCGGTTGTGTAAAGCAACCTTCCACCACCAAATCTATGAGTATGTCTACACTACAAGGCTAGCTGTGTCTACACAAGCCGCCCGTTATTTCAAAATAGTTTTCGAAATCACAGGCGTGCTATTTCACCATCCCGGTAAACCTTGTTGCATGAGGAATAAGGGATGGCTCAAAATAGCGCTTTATTTCAAAATGTGGCGCCGTGTAGATGCGCCATATTTCAAAATAACCTATTTTGAAATAAAATCGAAATAAGATATGCAATTTGTGTATCTTATTTTGAGTTTAAGGTGCTGTGTAGACACACCCTAAGTATTACAATCATCTGAGTCCCTCCATCCCCTTTCCACACTGAGCCTGTCCATCCCCTGCACTGTTCCTGCAGGTGTGGAGCTGACATGCCTGGCAATAAGGGGTTAATGTGCCCTGTGCACAGGCAGAAGTGCATGAACCAAAGGGCAAATTCATTTCTGCAAGGTTGGCTGAATGCTGGTTCAGGGCAGAGGTGCCTCCTGCACTCCGATGGGTTCCCATAAAGCATATGTAGCTAAAGAGTGTTATGGATACCCATCTGCTGCCTGGCAACAACCCCAGAGAGGCTGCCCCTCCTGGTGGGGGGTGCGCATTCAGGGGCCCTTAGCCCATGTGTGGGACCCCCTGAGAAAAATGTCCCTGGGAATTGTGCAGAGGCAGGACTGAGGTGGGAACTTCCACCCTGTGCTTCTCATATGGAGGGTAGATTTTCTGCTTGGTGTCTGCATCAGAATCTGGCCCATAGAGGATAACAGGGAAAAATTGGAAACTTTGCATGAGTAGAAAAGTATTGTACAGATTTACTTATGGGCAATGAGGAAGGATGGCCCAGTGGTTAGGTTGCCAGCTTGGGATGTAGGAGACCTAGCATCAGTTCCCTCCTTTGCCACTAATTCTCTTTGTGAAAGTGGGCAAGTCACCCAGGGCCAGGTTTTCAAAGGTACCTAGTGGAATTATCACTGTGCCTCAGGTCCTTGTCTTTAAAATGGGCCTAATAATGCCTGGGAGTTGAGGGAGAATACAAAGGAGAGTGTGAGGTGCTCTGCTGCTGTGGGAATGGAGAGGGCGCCTGTCCCAGGGTGACTGGCGCCTTCAGAGGGAGATGGGTCAGCCACAGCCATGCCTTTTCAGTTTGGACTCTTGGTACCCTGGAAGGGGTCATGTTTGTTGTGACTTGGACATGGGCCGAGCTGTATCCGTCACCCAGGCTGGCAGGGTGAGAGCGGAGTCCAAAGGCACCAGAAACTTTGTAGAAGATGGGGTGGGAGCAAGGCCAAAGTGTCTGAGAGAGGAATTAAAATACTATTGAAATATCCCGCAGAGCACAGCTGTAACCTATATAACCAGAATATTGCACGTGGGCACTATTGTCAAATTCGTCATTACCCCAGGCACTAGAGCTGCCAGCACTATGATACATATAGCAGGGTGTGAGTGCCAAAAATTCACAGTACAAGCACCATGGGAACCACACAGAAGGGTAACAGCGACCGAATGCATGCTTACCATATAGTGGGGGCACACTCGGGGTTCAGCTTAATACAGGGGCCCTGCAGACAGCTGTCCTCGCAGCAGGATCTACATGGCTGGCGTAGTAGGAGTTGCATGTCAGGGCACTAATTCACAAGCCTCGTGCAATGGGATCCAGGCATCCGGTCATTGGCACCCGAATTTGTACTCCCAGAACAGTGGGATTGGGTTGTAGAAGTTAGAGGAGGAAAAGCCCTGTGTGACCATTCCATCTCGGCCTGTCTCCATGCTTCTAACAGCATGTTTTATCCAGTGTCCATTTAAAGGTCGCAAGCCTCGGGGTTTCAGCCCTTCCCTTGGAATACTGTTCCACAGCCTAAGAGAGAGAACACACTGCCAGGTTTCCCTCCTCCCCCGCTGATTTTTTTCCCGTTCTTTGCAGTGCTGGTTGTGCTTAGCAGGGTAACAGGCCCAGGGGGTATCTTCCTGGCAGCGTCAGAGCCACACGTCAGCTCAGCCAAGAGGGATCCTGGGGGAAGGCGTCTGTTTCACCAAAGGGTGGAGGGAGAAGGATGTCACACCCTGAGCCCCGGAGAGGGGATGTACCTGGGGAGGGGAGCAGATGTGCTCGGCTTTGTGGCAGTTTAAACAGCAACAGGGAGGTGTGCTGGGGAGAGAATGGGGGCTCTGGGTGTGTTCCTAGAGATAGGGGTGATCCCGGATTGTGGACTGGATGTGTTCAAAGATCCTGGTCTATAGAGGGTGTAGCCTCTGGGGCGGAAGGATCCTGGGTTGGGGGGTCAGGGGGATCCTTGGCCATAGAGAAGGTATCCCTTGGGGTGGGGAATCCCAGGTTCTGGGGACGGGTGTCCCAGGAGATACTGGGCTCTGTGCACTGATGGGGCAGGCGCAGGGCACGGTGGAGGTGGGGAGGACGCTGCCGGAACCCCTGGGATCAGCTCAGTGAACTCTGGCCCCTGCACTCTGCACCACAACTGCTGCAAAGTCCTGTCCTGGCTACTGCAAGGAGAAGAGCCCAGGGAAGCTGCAACCCTAGAGCCATCGAGGGCAGAGCGAGAGAGTGGTGCCTGGGAGCAGCCCCCCTCCAGCAGTGCTGCAGAACACATTTCCAGGTGGCCCAAGGCCTGGGTGCATCGGAGTCTGATTGGATGGGGGGTTCAAACGAGCTGTGGATTTAAAAGCTGCCTAAAAGGCAGCAAGAGATGAGGTGTTCCCTGGGGAGAGAAGCTGCACGTCAGGGCACTAATTCACAATCCTAGTACAATGGGATCCAGGCAACAGAAGTAGGGAGCACAGCACCCCCCACTGTCACTAACTGCTGTGGGTGCTCGCTGGCACGGCGTACCTCTGCGCTGCACGGGGTGCCTCTTTCATCCATGTCACCCGCCCTAAGGCTGGCCTGGCAATACAGTTATGTTTTTCCCACAGCACTTATGTTTCTCTTGGTAAAAGGGGGTGGGGATATGAGCCCTTTGCCCACCCGATTCCAGTGCCCCAGCTGAGACACACTTCAGAGAGGGAAACTGAGGCAGGCAGTGCTAAGTGCACCATGCTTGGCCAAGAGGAGGTGCTGGGAGCAGCCACACCCTATGGCAGGGCCCATCAGTACAAGAGCTGGCCCACATGCAGATTCTGTCCTGGTGTAGCTATGGTGAGGGTTCAAAAAATGCAATAGTGGTACAGCCCATCCCTCTTCCTAATGTGGAGTCAGTTATTTTACTATAAAGGTGCCTTTTTGCCACAGCATTACTCATTCCCCTTCCTGTACGGAAATAGCTCTACTGGTGCAAGCGCCTTTCTACTGCAGTTACTGTGTTCACATTAGGGGAGGTAGTACCACTTTAATGGTACCACACAGCGTTGTGTGTAGGCACACACCCAGAAGCCAGAGCAATGGCTGTCTCCGCGTGATTTTCCTCCCTCTGCCCAGTTCTTTCTGAACAGCAAAACCAGCCCTGTTGATGGCTTTTCCATGTGTGTTTAAGGTGGATTATGATGTCTGCAGCAATTATGGAAACTGGTTATACAGCGCTGGAGTTGGAAATGACCCAAGGGAGAACAGGAAGTTTAACATGATTAAACAAGGCCTGGATTACGACAGCAACGTAAGTCTCCTGGCGAAATACCCCAACTGCTACGTAGCTCTCTTCCTCCTCTTCCCTTCTACTTCTTCCTAGCGGGGAACAAACCAAAACTCCAGCAGTTATGGACATGGCAAATAAGGTTTTGATTTGACTTTCAGAGCCACCTTGGTAAGATTTTCAAACATGAGGACCCATAGTTATGCTATGTGGGGTTGACTTCAGTGGGAGCTGATGGGGGCAGGCTGAAAGCTGTTGAAAATCAAGCCACTTATTTAGGCACCTAAATGTGGACTTAGGTGCTTCACTTTAGCCTCCTGAGTGTGAAATTTGGGGCGTACTCATCTGTTGATCCTATTTATTTGTTTTAAAAGTGGCCAAGGTAATTTAGTTTGATCTTCATTCTTTAATGAGCACAGGTTGAGTTTAATATAATATAATATACTAACTCATAGAACTAAAAGGGACTTTGAGAGGTCATCAAGTTCAGTCCCCTTCCCTCACAGCAGGACCAAGTACCATCCCTGACAGATTTGCCCCAGATCCCTAAGTAGTCCCCTCAAGGGTTGAGCTCACAACCCTGGGTTTAGTAGGCTAATGCTCAAACCACTAGGTTATCCCCAAATGCAGCTGCACTGAACAAACCACTAGGTTATCCCCAAATGCAGCCGCGCTGGTCAGAGGGGTATGCAGCAGTGTGTGTCTCTGCGTCCCTCGGGAACCCTGCTCCATCGTGATTATTAGCTGGAATTGTTTTTTCAGTGCTCTCTTCTCATCAGCAAGGAATCCAGCAGTCTATAGTGCTGAGATTTTTAGCTCTCGTGCCTCTTAGCTTGTCTTCTCTGAGGAGCAGCTTCTCTGCTGAGGAGAGCTGCCGAGACAGACGAGTGAAATCAGGTTAGGAGATGAATGTGCACAATGAGCGGCTAACAAAAGAATAGCCAACCCTTTGCTCAAATGCTGTGGAGACCGGCAGCGGTATAAAACCCCAAGAAAGCTAGTGCATTGACTGAGAAATCAAAAGGCGTGTTACGATCTGAGCTGTTATTCAAGGCTCTGTTTATATTCAGGTGGGTGCTGAAGAAAACTAAATGCAGTCAGCAGCTTCCATGGGCAGAGCAGAAGAACCTGCTCAACAGGTGCCGCTGTTTGAAAAATCCCTTGGACTGCAGACATTGCCTGATTAGGGGTGATGAGGGCAAGAAGAGAGCTGGTTTCAGAATCTGTTCCCCGGCTCAGGAAGTCTGGGTGTGTGGCCGTCCCCATGACAAGCATTGTGTTTAATGGCCATTTCCCTGGGTAACTAGCATACTGTCAAGACACTGTGCAGTGCGCCCCCACCTGCAGGGCTGTCAATGGCCTGACATCATCGGTGGACGCCCTGGGCACCCCCGTGACATCATCATCGGGTGACCCGGGCGGCAGCATTTTAGGCGGCGGCCAAGTCCACCTATAGCCATGGGCCGCCCCTGAACGCAGGCCACCTGCATGGGGGAAACAGAAATGAATGATGAGAAGGACTGAGTTGATCACCTATGGCCAGGCCTACACTACTGCCGAAGGTCGTAGTAAAACCATAGCTGGTGTAGACGTACCTTAAGCTGAGCTTCGGCACCGTCCTCATAGCAAGAGGTCGACAGGAGAAATGCTCCCATTGACTTCCCTTACTCCTCATGAAGAGTAGAAGTTCTGGTGTCGACGGGGGCGTCCGCAGCGTTTGATTCCACGGGTCCTTACTAGACCTGCCAGAATGACCACCCCGGCATCAATCTTCTCTGTAGTCTAGATGTGGCCTAAGACAGTAATGCACCTGACAGAAGGTTGAAACTCACAGATATGAGATTAAAGGACAGTTACAGTTTTCTCCTGACCCTCACCTTGAGGAGGATGTGGGGCAAGTGTGAAGGAAAGGGAAGGGGTTAGTTATCCTCAAAATCTGTAATTTCATACCCCTACCACTGCTAATGAACCAGTTTTGAAGGAGATTAACCCTTCCCCTGCTTCATTCCCCAGCTTCCTGGTGACCTAGAGAACTCCCCTTCCTTGCTGTCTCCCATGTCATAACACATGAAGTGGGCTTATTTCTGGGTTAGGGATAGACGCTCCCAGGGACTTTGAGGGTACGTCTAGATTACATGCTTCTGGTGACAGAGGAATGTCGATTAGGGTACCCGGCATAGGAAAATGAAGCGGCGATTTAAATAATCGCCGCTTCATTTAAATTTAAATGGCTGCTGCGCTGAGCCGATCAGCTGTTTGTCGGCTCAGCGCGGTAGTCTGGACGCTCCGTGGTTGACATCAAAGGCATTTGTCGACCTCCCAGGTATGCCTCCTGGGATGAGGTTTACTGGGGCAGTCGACAATTGCCTTTGATGTCGACCGCGGAGCGTCCAGACTACCACGCTGAGCCGACAAACAGCTGATCGGCTCAGCGCAGCAGCCATTTAAATTTAAATGAAGCGGCGATTATTTAAATCTCTGCTTCATTTTCATATGCCAGGTAGCCTAATCTACATGCCTCTGTCGCCAGAGGCATGTAGTCTAGACGTACCCTAAGTATCCCCTACATTGAAGCTAACAAGATGTGTACGTTCTTGGCGTCTCTGTAAATCAGGCCACCTGATCAGATGCCTAATTACAGATTTTGAGGCCTAACAGAAGGTTTGGTATAATACTTGGTGTAAGGCTTCAAAATACTTGGTCTCTATGTGTCCCCATTTCTCGGGGTATCATTTGTTACAGTTAATAAAGCACTTTCCTATCCTTGTTTGGAAGTCAGATTATATCCTGCCTTGTTGGTGTGAGTGTCTCCTCTCTGAACATTGTTTCCATTTGCAGGGAGATTATGTCCGACTGTGGGTTCCAGAAATACAGTGTATAAAGGGAGGGGAGATACACACGCTCTGGGCACTGAGCAATGCTGCTCTCTCACAAGCGGGGATAGCGCTTGGGGAGACCTATCCACTGCCAGTCGTCCTGGCCCGAGAATGGAGCCGACATATCAACCAGAAGCCTGTAAGTACTATGAAGTTTCAACTGAACTAGGGAGTTCTGCTCTTTGCTCTAAATGTGAGTATAAATTGTGCAATTCTCTCCCATGGGTGTTTGAGAAAGAACTAAGGATTTAGTTTAATCCAAATCATTTAAAAAGTCCATAACTGGGTACAAGATTAATTTTGAATGAACCCTGGATATCCACGTAACTGGAGTGTGAGCTGGATTCTCTTCTCGTCTGACCGTGCATCTATCACAGCTCCTCCTTACTAAGTTCTGGTCTGTCTAGGTCTGTGCAACCCCATTGAAAGCCAGGAGATTGCACAAGGTGTCATATACCAATACCTTGTGCTAGATGATTGTGTATGATGAGAAAAGAACCCAGTCGGATTCTCAGATCCCAGAAGGAGTCAGTCGGTGAGGCTGGCAGTTAGTAAAAATACCCATTGGACTTGTAAACTGAACACGTGTGATCTGGAATTACAAAGACCCATTAAAGAGGGGACCACAAGAGGCCATTGGTATTGAGTCACTTTTCAGACTGGATCTGCCTTTTAGAAAATACAGGCAGTCCCCGGGATACATGGATCTGACTTACATCGGATCCCTACTTACAAACGGGGTGAGGCAACCCTGCACTAGCTGTGTCCGTCCCCCCCAGCAGACCGCCGAGACGCGCCGCGGGCCCTCCCCAGCAGACCAGGGAGACGCGGAGCGGCTTTTCTCAGCAGACACCTCAGCTTGAGAATAAAGGACTGAGGGAAGTGAGGTGTGGGAGAATAAAACTGAGCTCTGGAGAAATGTTTGGCTAGAGTTTCCCCTACAATATGTACCAGTTCCGACTTACATACAAATTCAACTTAAGAACAAACCTACAGTCCCTATCTTGTACGTAACCCAGGGACTGCCTGTACAACAAAACTAACAACGGGCTCAGTCTTAGGGTTGAGCGCTGCCAACTTCTATCTGCTGACCATGTTGCTGCTGTAGTCACCCAGGGGCTGTATAGTTCATCTCACAGATGTTCATTACTTTGTTTCCCTCTTGTCACAGATCAGTTTGATTCTGGGGGTTAATAAACCAAGCGGAAGGGTGAAACTAGCCTTCATGGAGGGTTTGGATACTGAGGGCCCAAGTTTCTGACTCAGGCAAAATTCCTTGCGGCGTTACTGAGATCCTTTGAGTAAGGACCAGTGGCTTTGGCGTTGAGAGTTAGAATAGTCAGTCCTCTTTCATTACAGTGTGCAGTCTGCGGCAGAAAAGTGACTCACTGTACTACGAGCCCCTTTGGGGGTGGGGGGAGGAACGGGTGATCATCTTTCAACAGGAACTTTTTAATCCAAGCAACTTTTTGTAAAGTGAGATGGGAGTCACATGTGAGCCCTTTCCCCCTCGTCAGCATGCTTCTAATCCTTGCGTCAGTTTGATGGGGGGACCACTCCAAGATTTTGGTAAGAAGTTAAGGGCCACACTTTTTTATGGAGGGGGTGCAGGGTCTGGGATGGAGGTTGGATGCAGAAGGGAGCTTGGGGTAAGGGACTGGAGTGCAGGAGAGCATGCGGGGTCTGAGAGGGAGTTTGGGTAAAAAGGGGGTTGGGTGCAGGGTTTGGGAGGAGAAAGGGGTGCAGGAGACTATTCTGGTCTAGGGGACAGGTATAGAAGAGAGTGCAGAGTCTGGGAGGGACTTGTGACTTTGGCAGAGGAGGTGCAGAGGGTTTGGGTGGTGACCCAAGGCAGGGAGTTGAGGTGTGGGAGGGGGTGAGGTGCCAGAGGCAGGCTTTGGCCGAGAGGGGTTGGGTGCAGGGTTTGGGAGGAGAAAGGGGTGCAGGAGACTATTCTGGTCTAGGGGACAGGTATAGAAGAGAGTGCAGAGTCTGGGAGGGACTTGTGACTTTGGCAGAGGAGGTGCAGAGGGTTTGGGTGGTGACCCAAGGCAGGGAGTTGAGGTGTGGGAGGGGGTGAGGTGCCAGAGGCAGGCTTTGGCCGAGAGGAGCTTACCTAGTTGGTTCCCAGTTGGCAACCCAGCAGGGGTGGTCAACGGGAGCTGAGAAATTGTGCTAGGGGAAGCACGCAAAGCCCCCCCTCCCACACACTTTGGGGCAGAAAGGCACATGAAGCATCCAGCCTCTTTGAGGGGCCTGGGGCTGATCCCTGTCTGAGGGCTGGATCCAACCCATGAGACATATCTTGCCCTCCCCTGTTCTAATCTCAGGAACTGTGCCCCTATCACCATAGTATCTGTCACAATCACTAATGTATTTTATGTATCACAACACCTGTGACCAAAGTCACACAGGAAGTCTGACAGACAATGGAACCTCTCTCTCAAGTCCAAGACTAGCATTATTCTTCCTCTCTGCTTCTCATCTGGCTAGAGCAAAAGTGTTTTATGCTTTTTTTCTGACGACTGTGAGCTGTCTAGGTTGCTTTATAACATAAACATCAGAAGTTCTTTTAGCTTCAGTCAGTACTCTTCTCTGCTCTTCTCTCAATTATAGAACAAGAGAGACCACCCTCCGAGGGGAAAGAAAGATCCCTCACACACACCAAAGCAACACAAAGACAGAGGGGTGGATTTTTACTTCTCTCGCAACAAAGATGTATCATGAAGGCAGCCCCTGCACTTCTGGAGAAGTGATGGATGTGCCTTTGCCTGCTGAAAACTCCAGCTGATAATGGTTACTTGCTGATAATGGTTACTATGTCTTGGCTAACTTCTCTCTCTCATTAATAGCTAAAAAAACCAAGAATGACATTTTGGACACATTGAAATCAAAGGAGTCTTGCCATTGACTTCAAATAGATCAAGATTTTGATCTTCAATCTTTGAAAAATGGTTCTCTTTACGAGCCAGCTGATTGGGATTCAGAAAGGAGCTGAAGTTCTTGAGCATTGTATTTTTAAGAATTCTGCGACACCTTTAACAAGATCAGAGGTGCGAACCTTGTATTCTGACCAAATTTGAGCGGTGGAAATTATGTCTTGCCCACCTAAATGCCCCTCAGAAATCAACTGGATGTATTAAAGCCAGATCCTTACCTGGTGTAAATCAGCATAGTTCTATTGTAATCAGTGAAGCTACACTGATTTACACCAGCTGATTTTCTGACTTGGTATTCTTCACTTTCTGCTTTCATTGTTGCTGTGAGCTGTGCAATAGCTAATGTGTTCCACCCCAGAGATGGGTGATGAGTGATTTGATACACTGATTATATACGGGGATCACTTAAGTTTTGGGTTGAAAGGGGCTTTATAAGTAGTAATTATTCACCATAATGGTAGGGACATCTTGTTATTGTCAAGTGGTCAAACAGCTTTTCCAGTGCCTTTGCTTTGTACTGGGGCTTATAGTTACTATAGACTGATTTGTACCTCATATTACAGACTGGAGAAGGTGTTCACTTTTTTAATATATATTGGAAAAACCTATTCTGAATTTCCTTATATTAATGTGCTTCAGGGTGTAAAACTTAAAAACATTGATCCATTAAACAGCTTAAACCTTTGCCTTGGAATGTTTTTACTTTCCTGATTTTTACTCTTCTGATGGAGACCTGAAGGCGGAATGGCTGTGCTAAGGTACCAGAATCCTGTTCACTTTGACTGTATCCTCCATAGTGCTGTAGAGAAAGCAGGTTCACCTTGGAATCCCACTGGGGATCACTGTGGTAGTTTTTTTGCCTGTGGCACCAGGCCTGAAAGTTTGATGTTATATACAGCACGTACATCAGAGTGTTTCAGAACATTGCTCTATGGTCTGTAACGGCAGCCAGTCCTGTTCTGAGCCCATTTTAAGTGTCTTGTTCTTGTCCAAAAAGTCTTAACTGGTCTGATTTGGTTACTTGAGATAGCTCCTTCCTCTCACTGTTCCCTTGCATGGTATCTTCACTCCATGAGGGCCCTAGATTCACACATACAGAGTCTGGGAGCAGAGCTCTCTCTGGCTAGGTCTACACTATAGCCTTTTTTCAGAAAAAGCTACGCAAATTGCGCTCTGCAATTCGTGTAGCTTTTTCCGATTGCTTTTCTGGAAGAGGCTTTTCCACCATTTGGCCCTGACTGGATGGGGCCAAATGGCAGAAAAGCCTCCTCTTTTGGAGGAGCCCTTATTCCTCGCAGAATGAGGTATACAGGGCTCCCCAAAAGAGCGCGTTTGCTCTTCTGCAAAAAAAAGCGGAAGAGCAAACGCATTCCCTGGACATGGTCGAGTTTTTCTGGGATGCCTCCGGAGGGTAGATGTAGCCACAGAGGAGGGCCTTTGATTGGCTCTGGAGTTCATTACCACCAGGGATCACATGGAGTTGCAGGCTCTGCCTTGACAAAAGAGGCTCTGGTTTAAACATGTCAGGTAAAAATTAATCTAGTTCAAAAACTGATGTAGAAGCCCTTAAACCAGATAAACCCTTGTTTAAACAGCTTTAGTCGGTATTTGTAAATTATTGATTTAATCTAAACCAATATATATCTTTCACACATGACGTGGATTGACTCCCTATTTGAAATGTGAAATGGAACTAAACCCTAACTATGAGAACTATGACTGGCACCTCCATAATTAGCAATGGTTAAACCAGTTATTGGGCATCTACGCTAGAGGCTTGCACCTGGAACAATTTTTAAATTGACTTAATTAAACCAGGGCACTTTCCTGAGTATGGACAAGAATTAGGGCTTCGTCTACACAAAAAAGTTTGACTTTGCCATAATGGCAACCCGCTGAAGAGTGTTTCTGCAGTATATTTTACACTGGTTCCCCTAACCAAATAAGCTATAGCACCGAAAGCAGTCTTTTGTTAGTCTGAGTTGCATCTGCATTAAGGCACTTGCTGGTATAAATATGACATTAAAAATCACACCTTAATTGACTTTACAGGCAGAATATTAAGAGTAAACTTGGCTTAGATTTGGTGACCTTCAGGGCAGATTGCAACATTCATCTTGTCTCCCAAACCTTCTCTTAACAAATGACTTGTGGAGCAGCTCCTCCAACATTGCTCCTGGAAGTAATTCTCCCTGCTTAACCCTGTATAATTGGCTTCTTCTGAAGGGAGGGGAGTTTAGTTCCTTTCCTAGGAAGACAGGATGCACTCTACCCTATGGCTGTGGAGTCCAGCCTTTCCAGTCTGAGGGATGACTTGATTGGGAGTTCTGTCTCAGGCCAGGTCTACACTAGAAACATTTGCTAGTGTGGGAGGGGTAATTTTTTTAATCTTTGTGGATGCATCTACATAGCACCCTTATCATGAAATAAGCTATGCAATTTGCACAACGCAAAGTTCATACCTTATTTTGAGGTAATTTCGATATAGCTTATTTCGAAACATCCCTTAACTCTTGTGCAACGAGGTTTACAGGGACAGTGGAATAGAAAGCTCATTATATTTTGATATAACAGGCTTGTTTTTAAGACATAGAATAGCTATTTCGGGATACCTCCAGTATCCTGGGATACCTCCAGTATTCCGAAATAGCTCCGTAGTATAGACATAGCCTGTGTGTGTGTGTGACATTTTTATCTTCCCAAATGCTCTAGGGTCAGATTTTTAAAAGTATTTAGGAGCATAAGATCCATCAGTCATCACACTGATTATAATGAGAATTAGTCATTTAGATACCTTTAAAAATCTGTCCCCTACCATAGACAGTTACACCAACATAAAAGTGCTTTTGGTGGTACAGTAGACTTCTGATAATCCGGCACCTTTGGGACCTAGGTGGTACTGGATTATCGGATATATTGAAGTATCAAGAGGTACTGCATACTCCCGACGCAATCCCTCACTCCCCCTACCCCCCAACCTTATGCTTGGGTCCTGGAGTGGCCGGTACAGATGCGTATTTCCCTCCAGGCACTGGGGCACGTGCACTGAGGCTTTTCCATGAGCTGGCCGGAACGCAGTGCATAACCCAATCTCCCTCCCCCTCCCCTTCTCTTTCCCCAGAGCCAAATACCTCCCCTCCCTGCTGTAACCCACATGAGAGCGGCTGACCTGAGCCATTCTGTCAGGAGCGCTTGCCATTTTGATGCTGGACTATCGGGAGTGCTGGACAATTGGGTGCCAGACTATTGGAGTTTTGCTGTATAATGTATTTTGTTTGCAGCATCAATGTTATACTGGCACAGGCATTTTTTATGGGTATAAGCTGCATTTTTGACGGTACAACTGTGCTGGAATAGCTATACGGGTTCACTTTTTCTATTGTAGGCATAGCCTTGGGTAAGTGGAACCAAATGGAGGACTAAAGCTGCAGATGTAAGAGTGCCCCCTCCTTGGCTGGAACCCAATCCTATTGAAATCAATGGGGGCTGAAACAGGCCCAAAATGAGAATAAAATTGTTTGACAAATGAGCAGGAGCATGTATGGTATCTTAAATTGCAGCCGTGTACATGGAATGCTATCACCCCAGACCAGTGTTTTTCAAACTGTGCTCCACGGAGCCCCAGGGGCTCCACGCGACATCTCCAGGGGTTCCGCGAGGTTGACAAACTAGAAACATCGATAGGTACAACACATAGAATCAGTGGACTGCTGGGACGCTGCATAAATTTTAACGCATGTAAAGGGCTCCAGAGCCCAAAAAGTTTGAGAACCGCTGCCCCAGACTGTTGAATGTGTATATTAACAGTAAGTTGATGGTCTGTTCCAAACATAACCCCACTTTTCAATCTAGTAGAAGCCCAAGGTGTAGTGAGGGAATGAAGAAGAGAAGTGGACGAAGAATCAAAGTTAAAACAAAGTGTAATTGATGTTTAATGAAGACACTTGATGCAGAATCAAACTCACATATGTTCTGAATATCACACTATTGCTGTGCAAAAAAGACACTTGATGATACATATTCAAACTCTGATTACATTAAAGTACACTGTTTTGTATTCATCATGGAGGACTCAACTCTGGTACTGGTCCTAAGGAGCTTGCATGTGATTCAGACACAGAAGGCATCAAGAAGATGGATTTAGCACACAACAAACAGCATGGGGCTTATCTCAGGTATTTATTATATAGCACAAAAATGAGGAAGAACGGCTCTTGCGCAAGAGGTAGGGTTTGCGCAAAAAGGAGCCGTCTACCCTGCTCTTTTTGCACAAAAACCTCTTGCTAAAAATGGCTGCTCATTAATTATGCAAATGAAGTGCAGTGATATTCCATTCCAAGTTTCATTTGCATAAGCTTTTCTGCAAGGAAGCCATAGTGTAGACATAGCCTTCATGAGGAAGGAAATCTCTGACCTCCACTGCTTCAGCAGTCTGGGGTGAGGGTAGGAGCTGCTACTAAAACCAAGGGCTTTGCTGTGTGAGGGCATCATTGGTGGCATCTTCCACAGGCATTTCTGTGGGATGGCAATGGAGTCTTACCAATGTGATCAGAAGACAAATGGCTCCGTTCTGTGTGTGAGCAGGAGCAGAAAGAGGCTAACCTGAAGTCAGGGAGTGTTGGGGAGGGGGGAAGCCTTCCACGCCTCAAGGAGAGTGATGGGAGGCAGCCTCATCCCAACAACTGACCTATGTATAAATGCCCCTGCTAAAACTAGCACCCCAAGCAGGAAAGAGCCTGTTAGTTTGGGATGAGCAGGAGCCGCTGGTATGATTCTCAGCTTTGCCTCTGCCTTCCTATGGGATTTGGGTAGGTGATTCAATCTCTGCACCCCCTTTGGGGCATGGGGCTCATAATACTTCCTTTCTCGTGCTCATTCTCTGTGTTTTTGTGTGTCTAGCCAGTGGACCCTGAGCTTGGTCCCTACTATAAATTAGCTTGATCCCAATGGAAATAATGCCATTGAAGCCTAGGCCTTGATGTTGTTCGTACAGCATCCCTCTTGGGCTGGAACATGGGAAATGCAGTCTCTGGAGACATCTGTCTGTCCATGGA